CCACATAAACTTGCAAAGGGGCTGAACTTCAAAGTCAATATGAACTAGAAGTTGCTTACTTGTTGCCTTCAGGATAACAGGATGGATAGTTATTCCTGTAGCAGACAACAACATGCAAATCTGCAAAACATCCAGACGTCACTGAGAATTTCACTTCTATCAGGAACAGACCTTTGTCACAGCAGACATTTCAACTTGGCAAACACAGGTGTAACTAGAAAATAACGGCTGTACTCTTATTAGGTATTACTCTGACCAGATCATGTGCTATCTTCACTGGCTTTCTGGCACGAATTAGCTGCAGCTGAGCTTCTCCTGCAAAAACAAAAACAAGTGGAAATGTTCTGCTGTGAAAAAGGTCAGAATGTGAGTTTCTTTACTTTCAGTTTCAGGATGACTTTCTGGAAGAGCTTTTTGGCAGGAGGTGCTACATAAATAAAAAGATTTCCACACTTCCAAAGCATGGACGCACACACACACACACACAAGCAGATGAAGAGGAGGTAGAGGTGTAGGAGGTAGAGATGGATGATGGCATTCAGACAGTTTAAAGAGGGGCAGCAGCGAGATGCACGGAAAAGTTTGGAGAGTGCGGAGGAGTAATTTCACCAGCCACTCCTGTGTCTTGTTACGAAGGTGCAGGCTGGTAACTAGTCTGCCAGACTGATGTGCGTTAGAGATAAATGAAAAACTTTAAAAGATCAAACACCTAAAAAATAAACAGCACAAGTTAATTATTAAGCAAAACAAAGGGAGTCTTTGCAAAGATTCCTCCAGCCGTTCAGACGCCAAAGCAGCAGCAGCAGAGATGTTGAATTTAGGGATACAGTTTATAGCAGCCATCTGGAGATGAGCATGCACAAAAGCTGCATATTCATTGACTGATATTGTCTGAGCCTCGCAGACGTCATTCTCTGGCAGCCCAAACTTAGAGGGCAGATGGCGGTCAAAGATGTCCCGCCGAACATCATGAGACCCGCGGAAGCAGAACTAATGGAGGGCATGGTCTGGTGGCCTATTGTCTGAGCCAACTGTTTTTCTAGCCTGAGGTGCAGGGACTTGGCTCGCTGCTGTACAGTAGCTGAGTCATTTAGCGTCGGGTGGTTATTTTAATAACACTAGAAATCACTTTTGTTTATGTATGCAGGAAGTATGCACGAACTAAGTTTTGATTGTGTTTAATTTGCAGTTTTGCATCATCTGTGATTGATTTTGTGCCTCGAATTCACATCTTGTTGCACAAAAGCAAGCACACAAAATAAATTGGTGTGTGATCTTTCGCCACTCGCTAATCATAGAGGACAACCAAGTAAATGTCACACAATCTCTGCATGGCTCTAAAATTGCTGCACCTGGAAAATGACTCTCAAATAAGGTCAACTTGAAGGAGCTTCTTTTTTTTTCCCCAGTGAATAAAGGACTGAGTTAAAGGTGTTTGCTTCAGCTCGTATTTTCTATTTTTCTCAATTTTATTCCGCTGCTATTGGTTAAGGACCAGAAAATGTGTGTTATTTTTCTTTCTGAAATGTCAGTGCTGCTGTAGTAACAGGATCCTTTTCTGTCTTGTGCAACTCGCTTTCAGTCTGGCTGCGCATTAATTTGACATCCTTAATTTGTAGACAGGACAAAATGGGTTATCTCTGGAAATGACAGGCAGCGGGAATCAATGTTCATTAACGCAACCTTGCCTGCCTTATGGCTGCTAAAAGACGTTTCAGTGCAGCGCTCAGTGTTCCCGCTTGAGCTGCCTCTATGTGATGGATATGCACAGTGCGACGCCTTGACTGCCTGTGACAGCAGATATATATCCATAATTAGAGAGAGAGATGTGGATTTCACACAAATATAGAAACACCTCCTCATTAAAACAGCAGAAAAGCTCAAGTTTAACTGCAAGAGACGTCTCCCTGAAGCAACACAGCTGACTGTCACGGGCATCTTTCAGCTTCTCTGCTAACATGTTAAAAATATCACAAAGTTCTGCATCTGAAAGTGATCGAAACTAAATACAAGAAATGTCCACATCGGTCATTTGTTACAAACAGGGAGGCGGTTTGGAGTTTTCCTCAAAAGTGTTGCATATTTTCTCCATCTTCACTGGGAAATATTCACAAATTTGCTTCTGGTTGAATCACATTTCAGCCGTTAGGAGGAACTGGTTCTCAAATCTCTATTGCCCTCCAGTGTTTGTTTGACTAAATCACATCTCAGCGCTTGTGTTTGCTGTAAGTCTGCACCTCCAAACAAAGATCATGCAAGCTCTCAGCTGCAGCAGAAGATAAAAATGATAATTTTGACAAAAATAACAAATAATTAGAGCTATGTGCAACTTAAAAAAGACTGAGTTAAGAATGTTGCACAGCTTCTTTAATAAGATTTTAGGGAGATGCAGGCTACACTGAGATAGTTCTGTCATGACCTTGGAAACAGCACTTTTCACTTGCTTTCTGATTCTAGGGCAAACTTTTCTTTTTTTTTAATTATCAGATGTAGCTGAACTCTACATGTCCATCCATCCATTATCTATACACCACTTAATCCTCACTAGGGTC